AATGTGTAAGAATGAACTTAAAACCTACAAGAAGACCAACTTTTTTGTTGAACAGAAAGCTACTGGTATCATTCTTGATTAAATGAGTGAATGGTTAAAGAAGATGGCAGATGCTACTTCATTTGCTAAGTATTTAGGTGAAAATCTACACATTTCTTGCTTTGAGGTAGTTCCATCAATTCTTACATCCAGCCACTTCCAGGCATGGCAACAGTGACTCTGTTTTGAATAGTGAGATGTCATTGAATGGAAACTGCTACTATTAATTAAAATTGTAATTATTGAATGACTGTTTCTACCAGAGGCAGTCTTAGTAATGTTGTGAAGTGAAAATCATAATAGTTTTGAGAATTGTTTTAACTAAATTGCTGGAAAATGAAGGTTGTTCTTCTCAACCATGCATTAATGATAACACGAATTTCCCTTATTCTGAGTGACAAATTTTCCAAAGCTCTTTTCCCCCTGTTTTTAAGCATGGCCAATACAGGGAAGCCTTCTGGAATATTAGTATTTCCCAGTGAAGTGGTGCAGTGCAGATAACTTTATGGGTCAACTGTCCGGCACAGATCAATAAAAGAATGCAGAAATAGTGTGATTAAAGAAGCCCAAAAGTTGGCCCAGTGCTTTGAATAATTAATTCTTTGCTTGACACTGGAAATCTTTCTTGTTTCACATTACAAAGAGTGATTTTTGTTGGGTTTCAAATTCCAAGCCTGGAAGGTTATAATAAATTTTCCCATACATGAAACACTGTTCTACATCCAATTTCCAGTGGTGCATATACAGCGTAACATCAACCATAATAATAAACATAATAATTTAAAAACATGCCTTCCTTACTTATGTTTTATTTTATTTTAGAAGATGGCAGAGAACACAAAGAAGAAATTGGTACTTGCATTTCTATTTTAAAAACGCTTCAAAGAAGCCTAAAACAAGGGATTTGGAAGACATATTTCTTTATTTTCTTTGTAAATCATATTCATAGTGTAGTCTTCCCCCACCCCCCCATCCCTCTTAGTCTTGTAATTATATTGTTTACTATGGTAAGGTAAATATTTTCATACTTCGACCTATTCCTTTGCTTTTAGTATTTTCTGGGACAGAAGTAGAAGAATGGTCAGTCAATAAGGAGAAATCATCACACTGAAAAGAACAACATGATTTATTTGTTGTTAATTCATGGGCATTAAAATTTTGATACATTGAGAAATAGAAGATAATGACAGAGAACATGATACTAACGATATTCTCTCATTAACATAAAATAGCACAGACTTTTATCCAGTTCTTAAGCTGCTTTTTGAAGTTCTTATTCAAGCACCTAGCTAGCTTAGTCCAAAATAAGAAAAACATCCTGACATTTGACATTACAAAAGGAAATGGAGTCAGTAGCTGTGAAAAATAAATATAACTCGTGTCTTTTTTTTGTCTATGTGTGCCTGCTTCTCAGGTAATCATATACATTTTTATTTTTATATACCTGCTTACTTTACTAATTATTTTTTCATGCTTATTTTTTTCCTCATACAAACATATTTTCATCAAATTGTTCAATTAACCGTATGTGTTATAACGATATGTAATGCTGTATATCAACACACAGACCTAAACCTAGCCTGGTCTGGTCCCAGATTAGAACTACTGAGCTCCTCCTAAGCAACATGATGTGAGTTCGCAAGCTGTGACTCCGTACACAGACACATGATTCTTACAAGCAACATCATCTGACGCGGACTTTACAGGCTTTAAATAAAATAAAATTGGCCATTTCTGTGATCACACACACACACCAACTCAGCGCCTCTCTGCAGACCTAAACCCTTGTGCTGCCAAGCTGGGGAGGGATCACCTGTGTGGTGCAGAGCCTGCTCAGCCACCGGCCTAGAGTTTTTTTGGGGAGTGCACAAAGCAAGGGTAAGTTTTGAGGGGGATGCTACGCGTGGGGCCGTCACAGCGGCAGCCCCGGGAAGGTGTGGACACAGAAAGCATTAAGCTAGAGCAAGCCTGAGATTGCTGTGATTTTAAGACCTGACCAGCCATCTCCAGAGTGTTGCAGAGTTTGTTGAAAGGCTGAAATTGCCTTTCCTGCAGTGCCTTTGGTCTAGCAGTGAGGGCACTTCAGCCAGCCCCACTAAGGGGGTTGGGTATGTATATTTAATTTTAGTTATTTTTTTTTTTTTTAATGCAGGCAAAATATAATCCCCAGTCCTGCTTAAAAAAAAAAAAAAAAAAAAAAAAAAAAAAAAGAAGTGTCTGGGTGAAAAACCCTGCGAGAGTTTTCCCTGGAGAGGTAAAAAAATAAGAAAAAAAAATAAATTTCATGAGGGTCTCTTCACCTCTGTGCAATAAGTAAACCATGCAGCCTCCTCCAGACCCAGCAGGACTTTGGGGAGGATAGAGCCAGCTGCAGAAGGCTCCCCTCTCTACAGCAACTCTGGATCTAGCTGGGGTAACTACTGAGACATTCCTTACAGCTTTTCCCATCCCACAACCTCCCTGTCCAAGCTGCAGAAAAAAACTATGAAATAATCTGTGCCTTTTTTCCAATTCTCTGAAGGTTGGATGTGGGAATAACATGTATTCCTCATGACCATAGTCCACTCCTGCAAATCCCATTCAATATCCTGGTTGGATATTTGACATTTCTCTTTCCTCTTCCATTTGTTTCTCTAAAGGGTTCAGAAAAGGTTCTGAATGGCCTGAGAAAATGTGTGAAGTGGACACCAATTTAAAAAATGGCTGTTCAAAAAAAGATTACATGGTTTGGGGGGCTTGACCTCTCATAAGTCTCTATTTATAGCTAAAGGACAGTGTTTCAAGGCAATCCAATTCCTAGCGGATTACAAAAATTGGGGGTTTGGCACTGAGATTGCTCCATCTGTGTAATGTGAGGAAATATCCACAGAGGATGCAAATGTCCTCAGAAGGATGGAAATTTGCCTCTGAGCTTGATGGGAATGAACTCCAATGAAGTGTCTCTTGCTCTGCGGCCCCTTTCCATATGTTGCTCCTGGTTTGTTCACAGTGTGTTAAAACAGGACCACAACTACTCTGGGAAAGAGATTTATTTTCTCACATCCATGGGAAAATAACTACACCAAACCATTCATGACAGCACAGATTGTGTCCTACTTGGATAAATACCATTATATTCTCATTTAATTATGGAAACAATGGGCAGCTATAAAACTTTGCGTGAATACAAACGTTGGTCCTCTGAAATCTTTACAGTCAGCAAGCATAGAGTAGGAAAAAGAGTTCTCCATTTTTAAGTGGTAGAACCAATACTGGATAGAGAACATCAAAAACTGCTTAAGAGATTTACCCAAGACCAAGGTATTTTCAGTCAGTGGCCTCTTTGTTGTGTTTTTTTTTTTTTTTTGGATATCCAGCTTGAGACACTGTAAGTGGAGTAAATTTTCAGAAAGCCTTGAGCACCTGCTCTCTGAAAAACTGGTTGCATTAAGGTATCTGAAGTTGAGCACCAAGAATTGCTGCATTGAAAAATAGGTTTGCATTAGAAATCCAAATTCCCTCAAACTGGTATTTTGGGAGGACCTAGTACTTTAGGCAGCTCTGAAAATCCTAGGCACCATGCAGAGTGAGTGTTTATCTCTGACACTGGCAGATATAGGTAAACATCTTCCACTACTGCAAATTTAGTGAAAAGAAGCATTTCAATAGTTTTATTTTTCGTTAACTCTAAGGAGGACTAACTAAATAATTCAGGACTAGTAATACTATTTTTATTTTTCATTGGTAGTTTAAAAAACAAATGTACTCTTTAGATAGAAATAAGATGTGAGAAAATGAAGTGTTTCTCTTCCAAAAGTTGATGTCTGGTTTCAGGTTTTATTTAATAGTCTTGGTTTCAGACTTAAATATTTGTTTTCTAATTTTTATTTCTCATGATGTGTAAATAACTAAGAAATATTAAATATTGTAATGTGTTTCCATTAAGACAATAACATTTCAAAGGCTAATGTAAAACCAAGCTGCTAAAGTTTACAGTTTCTCTGTCCAGCAGTTCATTTATACAACTGCCCTGAGTAAATGCTATTATGCTACTTAGCAAATGGCCTTTAAGAGTTTAAAAATAGCTCAGTAAAGCTACTCAAAGGTAATACAACACTTCTCAGGTATCTTTAATTGAAGTTAAGAAGAAAACAGGATTTCTCATTAGTTATTGTTCACTTATTTATTTATACACAACAAAACCACAATTGAAACGTTCAGGAGAACTAATTGTGCTTCTTCCTATATATGGGACCACGAGCTTATTTTTCAGAAAGGCAAGATTTTAAATTGTAAAACTAGTCCTATTTTGGTGGACTGTTTTAGCTGCTTTTGTTATACTCTCTGTTGTTCCCATGTGAACCAGTGAAAACAGTTATTTGCTAACATATATTTTTGTGAGGTTTCTTTGCGAAACCTCACTGATCCCCTTTAACAGAAAGATTATCTTACATTAAAATTCCTGATATAATCAATTTGCAGTGTTTCTCAAACTGGTACAAATATGTAAAATCTGTGCTTTTAAAAGCTTCTGCTTTGAGTAGCCTTACACTCCATAATTGTGCCCTAGCAATTGTTCAAGCTCTATTGCATGCCCCATTCACAAAAAAAAAAAAAAAAAGAAATTTTGTTGGGATGACGTAGCTGTAAAGAATTTGAATTTAAAAGTTTCTTACCTAGAGCTTCTGTTAAATTATATTAATTTAAAATATCTGTGGAATGATAATTTTACAAAACCACTAAAATTAAAAAAATCAACAAACAGACAAATAAACCAAAAAAAAAAACCCCAAAAACCAAACTAAATAACCAAATGGATTATTGGGTTGGGTTTATGAAAACAACTCTTTACAGTAAGTAAAAGAAGTTTATCACAGTTTTGGCAAACTTGCATGAGTTCATACTGAAAAAGAAAAATCTTTCAAACACATTCCTGATGACTTTTTAAAGACTTTTACATGCTCTAGGGGTTTTTATATCTCTCAGTTGTAGGCCCTGAAGCAGTAGACCCCATACAGCTTGTGCTTCTTGTCAGGGAAGCCAACGAAGCGCACGGCAGCCTCACTGGGGCTGCAGCGCTTGCGGGGCCGGGAGATGGGGTAGCGCACACTGCCGTCTGCCAGCCAACCCGCGTCGCACCGGTCGTACCCCAGCAGCTTCCAGGCAGCGAAGATCTGCCCCACCTTGGCGATCTGGGCCCCGTCCTTCAGGCACGCCTGCACCGCCTCATCGTACGTCAGCTTGATCGGGTGGATCAGGTAGTAAAAACGGCCTGGCAGGGGAGAAGAAGGGAAAGAGATAATGCCATGATACAGCATAGGGTTTCTACAATTTTATAACACTAATTAATTATCATATCTAATGGATACATCTAGTCCGAGAATTGTCTGCCCCTAGAACCTCCCTCAGGTCTGCCCCTTCCTTGAATCAAGCTGGAGGTCTCAAGATCCCTTCCTTCTCCACCATCATCCTCTTCAGTCTTCTTTGGATCTTCTCCAAGCTTTCCAGGCTTTCTAGGTTGCTTTAACTACAATGATATCTCATTATGTCCTTCTAGGTACATGTCCGTTCCCAGACAAGTTGTAATCATTAAAATCTTTTTCCTTGAAAAGAATGTTAAACAAAAACTTGAAGAATTTTGAGAATTTGGCACAAAGTTTGAGAAAAGGGGTTTAGAAGCTGTTAACCACTATTTTAAAGTGTTAGAAACTATAATACAACTATATTAAAAACCTATATGCTACAAATCTTAATAATCTTAAGGTATTATTGGAGCTGTTGGCGGTGTGAAGGTTGGGTTTGGTGATCTCAATGAGTCTTAATGAGTTAATGAGTCAACGACTCTAACTAAACCCAGATTCTGATATCTGGGTTTAGAGATGTAACAAGAACTAATATTTTTTTGCAACAGAATGTACCATGGAAAATTATGTATAGCTGAGACAAGTGATTTAAAGAAACCAGCCAAGCAAAGTAAAGAAACAATGAAGAAGGGAACCAAAGCAGCCAAGCAACACTAAGTTGCTCTATAACCAAGGGTATATTGTCTTAAAGAAGATAAATCTGTCTTAGAACTTAAGAGTTAATTTATTCTTAGAACTTAAGAATTGGTCTAAGAACTTAATGTTGGCCCCCAAACTTAGAATTTTGGGGGCTCCAGACAGAAACGGCCACCAGAAACCCTCGATGAAGCCCCTCAAAGACCCTCTACGTGTATATATGCTAATAAGTGTTGGGAAATGTCATGAATATGTAACAGGAATGTGGGGAACAAAAATGAATAATCATGTAAAGCTGACATATCATGAATTTGGCAAAATGATTGCCAGTGCACCCAGTACACCGAAATAAAGAAAGCCTGACTTCTAAAACTCACAAACTAGGTCTTAGAGGTCTCTTTAAGAGCTGATTTTAGGCAACAATTCTATGAGTACAGTGATGTTGATAATGCAATGGTGAGTTTTGAGGAGAAGTGAAGATATTCCACTGAAGAATCATGTCAAACAGTGCTTGATTTTGGACTCTGCTGTTTGGATTCTGCACTGTTAAAAATGTCATGTTTTTTTTATGGTGAGTTGATAAGTACCAGGAGTAAAAAAAAGAAAAAGCAAAAAAACCCAACCTAGGTACAGAAAACAGACCATTTGAAAAAAAAAAAAAAGTAGACTATGTTTATTTCTGCTGATATCAAAGTATGGCATCCCCACCTGTACTTGTGCCCAGTGGTAACTGAACTGTCCATCCCTGGAAGTGTTCAAGGCCAGGTTGGATGGGGCTCTGAGTGACCTGGTCTAGTAGGAACTGGCCCTGCCCATGGTGGAGGATGAGCTTTAAGGTCCCTTCTGACCCAAACCATTCTCTGATTCTCTAATTTTCATCCTCAGAGGTAGAAAAACAGGAAGAAAAATATCAGGGAAGAAGGATGGTGAGATTTGGCAGAGGGACCCTACTCGTCATTTAACTTTATGGTACTAGATGCATTTACTAACATGATGACGATGACAGTGCAGTGAAGCATCTGAGAACCCTGTAGCTTTCAGGGAGAGCTGATCTCCTACACCTGTATTTTACTGTCAGAGAGGCAAATCAGAAATACCCAAAGCAGTGCAGGTCTATGTTATGATCCCAGCAATAGTTTAAAATAGCAAAAAAACTTATGAGTTTTCCTCTTGGCAGCAAGATTCAGCCTTTGGTATCGAGGGTGGGTGGCTGAAGGCAACACATGTCGTTTGCTCTCTGACAGGGTGGTGACCTTGTTTCTGATGAAAAACAAGCACAATTTTTTTTTCTCTAAAAAGGCCAGGGTATTGAACAGCTTCTCAGAAGGAGAGTTTGAGCCTGTGCTAGAGCAAAATCATGGCTGTTGAAAGATTTCATGAGCAGTTCTGCGGTTCTGTTTCTCTTTAAGCACCAAAGGGTACATGCTCACTCTAACACAGCACTGAACTGATAGTGCTGATAAGGAAAATGTGCCTCTGTCTCAAGGTAATGGAAATATATACCAGCAAAAAAAGCTCAAGAAGGAAGTCTCCCCTACTAATCCATAAGCAGCAATAATATTGATTTCATTTATCAAGGCAATAAACATTCACTGTAAGCATTTCATTGATTATATTTGGGGTTATTTATCATCACCGATTTGACGCAAAGTGGATTGCAGAGGAATAGTGAGGTTTTTTGAAGGCATAATAATTTCCACATAAATTCACTACTTTTCCATCTGTTCCTGAAGAGACAAGTTAGATGAAAAAAAGAAGGATTTTATTCATGTGGGGATCTTCTAATTCCAGAGCATACTCTCTACTTCTTAATTAAGAATGTACTCCAGAACAAGATCCTTTTTCTGAATGGTAAAAACCAGGCAAATACACAAAACTCTGCTCAGTTTGAGATTACTTCGTAGTGACAAAAAAAGTGGTGAGTAAGCTAAGAGTTGTGTAAGCTTCAGATTCCTGTAAAAAACACACAGGTTGTTTTTATTTATCTAAATGAAAAAAATTCCGGTCAGATGACAATACAAAGACAATGGAATTAACTTTGTCTAAGGGTTGGAAATTGTATACCAAGACAAGAACACTTTAACAAAAGGTATTTACATTGCAGCTGTGGCAGAGGAGAAATTTTAAAAAAATTTCATTGCTGTCAGAGACAATATCTACAGTATTTCTACAGAAAACTATTAAGAACAGATAATCTATCCCTTTGTAAAACACTTTCTCAACTCCATCTCGGCAAGTTGAGAGCATTTATGAGGTAAAAAAAATATTAAGTGGAAAACTGTTACTGATATACTATTAAGAGGTTTCCCCAAAACAAACAGAATTTCAGACTTCGGGGAAGAGGGATCTGGACTGATAGTATGTAAACTTCACCTAGCTTACTTAGTTCCTCTTCAAACCATATGTCCATGGAATGTAATTTCCTAGGGATTTGCAGCGAGGTCTGGCTTTTGATATATGATGCCAATAATAAAAACTCTAATACTCTGCACCTTTATTAAATAAGAGAAATTTAATAGCAAACCCTACAAGAGTACAATGTGTATCCAGATTACTCCTTTAATAAACTCCATACAGATTTGCAGTTTTTCTCCTGACAACCAGTGACAAGAGCTCCTAACTGTTCAATCTTAGTATCTATTAATTGCTGTGGAAGGAGAGGGAGGAATTAGCTGCCTCTCTCATTAATACCTCATAGTTGGGTCACTCCAACAGAGGATGGGATTGCTTGTTTTTTCTTCTCACAACCAACTCATGGGGCAGAGGCATCCCTCAAACCCCCTAGAATAGCTATTTTAAGCTTTTTGCATGTAGCAGAACAGCTTAAAGAGGAAAACACCAGCAACTGACCTAAATACCCCACACCCTTGTTACTGTGGGATTTTGAGGGATGATCCATCCTTGGAAATTTCTCCAAGCTCAGCTCTAAACTGAGAGATTTATTAGTCAGTTTTTCTTACGAGAATAAGAATCAAGGTTAAGACCTGATAAGTATTTTGATATCCAGTGTTTATCTCAGATAGCTGCTTTTGAATTAAATATGTGGGAATATTATTTAATTAAGTGCTCCAATACCAACTCAGAAGCATCCACTTCTAATGAAGGGTATGTAATTTTATTTTGGGTTTGTTTCTCTTTTTTGGAACAAAGGCTACATGTTCCCAGTGATAAAACACTCTGCAATGGTCAAATGAGAATTATGCAGGTAGGACTTCCCACACCTTTCTCCCATTTAAATGGCAGAGGTGTTTAGCATGAATTACTGTAATAAACAGGTGCTTTTAACATAATCCCTAAAATTTATTCCTTGTATTCTTTGTCAACATGAGATTTTTACTTGGATCTCCTAGAGCTGATGGACGATCAATTATGAACCATGTTTCTGTCTGCAAAGTGTATAACAAAATGCATGTTAATGAGCAGAAAGTGTGATGCAATCTCTACTTGTACCTTATGTATTTTTTCTTTGAAAGTGCTTAATTAGAAAGGAGTTGATAAATATGTTTTCATTTAGCTCATTTAGCACTTTTCAGTGCAAAATAGTCTCATGGTTTTTCCTTCAAAAAACCCAGCTGTTCTCCTTCAGACACACTTTGAAACTAAACAAAGAATAAGCACTCAGCTCTTCCATTATATATTGCTTTTCCTATGCCTTTTAGACTCTCTGGAGAAGACTGTAACAAAAGGATTCATCTGCATTTATTCCCCCAAACTGTACGGAAGGGGAGCACTCCCATTCTTTGGGATAAGGCAAGAAAACAAATTAGGGTTGTCTGCAGCCCTGGCAAAACTTTGGACCATGGCAGGTTGTCAGAAACCTTCAGCTTTTCTAAAGGCAACATGAACTAAAGTGGCTCTCACTGTGAAGGACAGGAGAAGGAGAAACTGGCTGTAAGGGAGCAGAGCTGAGTCCTCAGACACCAAGAAATTCCAATTTGGAATTTGAGAGTTCCAATTTTGGAATTTTCCCAGTTAAGTTAGATACTTCCCATCTGTGTATATTCATTTTCAACAGCCTTTATTAACAAAAGGCGTGTAAAAACAGATGGGGAAACATTGCCATCCAATGCAGGCAGAAAAAAAATAATGTTATTTCACAATATTTTGATGGATTTCATAAACAACATTAGGCTAAATGTTATTCTTTGCATTGTTTGGTGAAACATGTCTCTAAATATTCTTATAAACTGGTAAATTGCTGGTACTACTAGATATAAAGGGTGTGAAACATTTTCCTCATTTTGGGCAGAGAATGAGAAGTCTTCTTTGAAACAACAGAAAAATTTGAGTATAAATCAATTATACAGGCAGAAAAAAAATGTACAAGTATTGAATTTGCCTTAGTTTAAGAAAAGACACTGTAGAGGGTAATATCATAAAATAAAAATATTATTTTATATTATATTGTAAACAAGTTTTGCTCAGACAATTTCGCTGTGCAGACAACAGAAATGCAAGTAGAATTTTTCATTAATGGTGAAATGGTTTTGTGTATCCAGCTCATCACAGAGGGGATCCAACAGCTCCGGAGTGAAAATGCTGAGCCTGAATTTGAATTCATTGCATTGATGACTACAGTTTTGTTTTATTATCTTAATGGCTAAATACAGATTTTATTTTTTACCTTTCTTCTTCAGGTAAAAAACAAGCTTTGCATGCATTTCAGACAAATATTTTTTTAGTTTTACTGCCGAATTATTTAGAATGGAACCCTTCTTTTTTATTTATTTTATTTTAATGATCCCTGAGATCATAAGGTTTTTGGGGGATTTCTTTCCCTAAAAAGAACCCAGTTAACAGAAATCTAAACCTCACTTGACTGTTTTTTTTTTTTTTATAGAAGCTCTCACAATTAACACTTTTTTTGAGGTCACCTTACACTTCCCTAATCCTAGGGACCTTGGGATTTTTCCAGCTCCCTTACATAAAGCTGAAGGCTCCTCTGTTTCATACATTCAGGAGAGTCCAACAGTCACTGTCACTGCTGAGAATGTAGGGTCTTCTGATTAATTCTCATTTTCCTTGGCTGTTCCTGAGCTGTGGGAATCAATATTGGGTATTGCAGAAATAGCTTTTTTTGCCTGTAGCCACTATTTTTGAAAACTGGCAATTCCAACCCAGTGGCAAAATGGGTTATTATAGAGCTTTTCTCTTTACACTGAGAAAGGCAACATAAGCCATTAAACACATGTTTAAGCTATTTGAATTACTGAGCTGAAAATAGGGAGCTGAGGTTTTTCGAAGCGTGGCTGGGTTAACTTTAGGTGCTGAGGTGAGCTTGGGACATGAATAGTGAAGAGCATAGCAGGGATGTGTGAGGACAATGTGATATGGTGAGTTAAGGAAATGGATGCTGAGAAAAGCAGAAGTCCAGATTTTCTGCTGATTTCTTGAGAGTTACATGGCATTGAGTTGTGGGGAACATGCACACACACACACATATATTTACATATAAAGAGATAGAGGGAGAGAAAGAGGGGGAGAGAGAGAGGGAGAGAGCTATCTCACCCTATTGCTGTGTAGTGTTCTGTCTTGCACGTCAGTCTAACAAACTTATCAAGGTTGAAATTCATTTCAGTGTCTTGTCTTTGATTGTCCTCCTATCTTATACCTTATCCTCACCTCATTCCTCTTTCTCCCTCTTTCTCTCTCCTTGTTGTGTCATTGCACAGACAATATTTATGTCAGTACTTCTTTTTCTTTTTTTTCCCCCAGAAATTATACTTCTCTTTCCTTAAGAGGCACTGTCCAGGTGTAAAAGGGTGGTGAGCAGTAGTCACAAGCATTATAAACAGGGCAGCCAGCCTATTTTAATTATTTTTCCCTGATTATTTTATTCCTTAGTTATTTCTATACCACAGGGTTAAATCTGCATATAAGAGATGAATTCATGTAGGATTTCACCTTGGATAAATGAAGGAAGAAAAAACGGAGCAAGTATCTCATGGAATGATGCAGCATGATAAAAACCAGCTAAACTTTTGTTTCAGATCACTTCCAGCCTAATTTAATATTGTTGGCTTCAGGATTTTCTTTTTTTTGAGAGAGAGTGAAGCAGACTTAGCACTAGAGCATATCTTCCGAAAGCAAGGCTTATGTTTATTTTTTGCTATGCTCTAGGACAAAACTGCTTCACTGTGGATAAGAAATCTGTGCATAAACAAAAAAAAAAAAAGCCATGTCCCATGGTCTGGGTGGGCTGCAAGCCAAACATATGCAAATTTGTGTAGGAATTATCCACAAGTAGGATGCTGTAGAGGATTGTAGACTCCTTATGCATGTGTGCTTGCAGCCTTGCTCTCAGTTACAGCAACGCTCTCTAAGTCCTTTCCAGCCACTAGATAAAACCTGAAATGATAGCAAGCTGAGAGCAAACCATTTAATTTCATTTCATACATAAAGTAACATCTACTAACAGCAAAAGAAGCTTGCAGTTGTTAAAATAAGGTTTACAGCAGTCCAACCTCAGAGCAAAAGTGAATGAGGTTTTAGCAACGTCCTAAGATTAAGAACCTAAATTATTAAGGAATAAAACTAGAAATAGGTTTTCTAATAAGGAAGTATTAGTCATATTAGACCTAGTACATGAGCAGGAGCTGCCTGACACTGCAGTACAGATGAAGTGATGGTTAGAATTTTGTTTTGAGGATATATTTAAGCAATATGAGTTGAATTGTAATTGAAATCAACAGGAAAGTTGAATTAATGAACTGCAGGTTTCTTCATCACTTTAACTGAATTAAACTGGGCACTTATCAACATTGAAAGGGTACATATAAATTTTAATGAGGTGAAAGTGGAAATATTAGGCACTCCTACCAGTACAAGTCTTGAGTTGTAAAAACGACCTACGTGAGCACAGGGCAAAGAGGACATTACTCTGCACATGTGTCCCCGTAAATTCAACAGCAATATCTTCCAAGCCCAACATAAACTCTGACAAATCAAATACCACTCTCTGCCAGCAGACTTTCTTGCCTAAGCACAGAAAGAGTCATTTGTGAGATGGGGATGAAGAAAGCTCTTACCGTTGAAGTTGGAAGTGAAGCAGAAAACGTCATATCGGCTTTTTTCCTTGTCCCAGAACCCGTAATTCCTGACCCCAGGCACTGTGTTCTTCCCTCCACAGGGCTCCCGGGGCTTGGTGATGGGGTACTGCACAGATCCATCGCTAAGCCAGCCAGCGTTGCACCAGTCCAGCCCCGACCTCCAAGCGTCATAGAGCTGGTCAAAGGAGGCGATGACAGAGTCCTGCTCCATACATGCCCGCTGAGCCTCATAGAAATTCAGGTTGTACCGCCCCAGCCGTGGGGAGTAAGGGAACACCACACCTGTAGTGGGGGGAAGGAGGGAGCATCACTAGGCACTGAAAGAGGAAATAGGTTTTACAGCCACCAGAAGGAGAAATTAAAGGTTAAACTCCATGATGCGTGTCAGGACTGTAGTGATTGCTAGGGGAAAACACTCTGTCAGCAGCACATCAGCGTTGGGTTTGGGAAGGGAATAGGGATGCTGCCTCACCTAGCTGGCTCAGCTCCCCACAGTCCCATTCCTTTCCCAGTGGGAACTGTTCCAGGTCTGGACACTGCTCCCATCCCCAGCTTTGCTGTCACACAGTAATCTCACCCTCGTGCTCTCACAGCACTTAAAGAGGAGCAAAGCAGGATGGAATTTTGCAACTACATTTCTTTTTTTGTCAGAAAATTCCAGTTTATCCCTTGCAAGATAAAAGTCTAATTTTAAAAAATCAATTAAACCCTAGTCTTGTTCACTTTTTTATCATTATACTTTTAATTTTAATTTTTTTAATGGGATTTGGGGATTTCCTAGTAGTCATTTAAAGACAAAAATAAAAAAGAAATTGTTGAATTATTTCTATAAATTATTTCTTTTTACTCATAGACATTAAAATGAAATGTTTTGATTGACATAAAAGAGTGCTGTGTTCTGTTCTTGGTATGTGCCCTTGTGAATATTTCCTGAGAATTTCAAGACAGTTGTCTTTTGTTTGCTTGTGGACCTGACAAATGCTTCCTTCCATCCTGGAGGACCAGCCACAGGCCATCCCAGAGCCCTTTCTGATGCTCATTATTGCTGAGCCATTTCAGACAGGTATGGCGGAGAGAACTTCTCACAACAGAGGACATCCAAGAGGACATGGGAAATGCTTCAGAATTGCTTTGGAAGTAACATCTAATCACAGACATTGCTCTTATCTGACAGATTTTCTACAGTATATTTTCTACTTGTTTTATAAAAAAGATCTGAAGTTAAACATTACTTCTTGGAAAGATGTTTCAGGAAACACTGAGGAACCACCTCCCCAGGTGGCTTTGATAAAAGAGAAGAGAAAGACTTGAAACAAAGGTTTGGATCAGACACCCTTAATCTTTGACAGGGTTTAGAAACTCAACCCAGATCTAAATTTTACAGTTGGCTTTTAGCCCAGTCTCATAATACACCGAAATAAAATGGTATCAGAGAAGATCCAGCTCAGAATTGCTTATCCTTAAACCTCTATGTAGAACTAAGTGTTGTAGGATGTAGAGGGACTGAAGACAAGGTAACACATGAGCCAAAAACTTTATACTGGTATAAACATTCATCTTTATTTTTACTTTCTCCCTGCTGATGAATCCTCGTGCCTATGATATTTTCCTTGTCCTTGGGGCAGTGACAAGTAGGACAGAGAAATTACACTGTGGTCATACAGAATTTTCACCATGGCATGAAGCCACTCTTCTTTCCAGACGTTCAAACCCATCTCCGTGTCTATTCCACCAATATCTTAAAGTCCACTTTCTTTCTCTTCTCTCCCTCACCCCTCTATTGTCCAAGAAGTGTTATTTTTGATAAAAATCTATGTTATTGCTAAACCTCAGGGACTTGGTCCAAGAAAATAAAGCATGCAAATGTAAACTTGGCAGGGTAATAATAAACAATATTTTGCTCTCCTTCAGCAATTAGCTAAATAGTCTACTTCAGCCTTTTCCTTTTGTAAATCCTTCGTTAAAGGGCGTTTCAGTTATGAGCTGTTCTGAGCTGTAAAGCATGAATGTAATGTAACACAACATGTGTGTCAACTGTAGCTTCATAAACAAGAAGCTGAAGATGTTCCATATTTTTCTGGATCTCTGTTTTTCCTTCATCTCTATAAAAAAATTCATTCACTCTTCCTCAGTGCTAGTAGACAGAAATATCACTGGTTATAATAAAAATTTAGCAAATGTCATAGGAGTCAAAGCTTTAATACTTTATTGGAAATCCAATACTTACTATTTTTCCAGAACTACATTTTCCCAGACAACGAGTTCCTTGTACAGTACATGTGTCTGATTTGCATATACATGTAAAAAAACCACACTAAAATCAGCAGAGGTGGGTAATTTTTAATCAAGATATAAGCTTGCATACTTCTAAAAACTGAGGAAGAATTAATTGAAAGCTATTTAAACAGATTGGATTCCTTAAGGTTTCCCAAACAACTTTTTAAAAGGGGTTAAGCATGTATATAAATGTGTTACAAATCTGGGTTTGACAGTTTGAGATGTGATGTTTTCATAACATAAATATGCACTAAACTGTAATATTAGCTTTGGGTTATATTTGAGTAGACAGCATAGAAGCCCATTTTTTGTTCGAGTTCATCTGCAGTACAAGCCTGCAACTGATTAGCATTAATTTCACCCTACAGCTGGGGGTGGCCATGGGCAATTTTGCAGAGGAAAATTGACTGTGTGTGTATTTTGTGCAGCTTTGTATGATCTTGCCTTTTTTGTTAATTTTTTTCCCTTTCATTCCCCTATGAAACCTAGCTGAAATTCATAGTTAGATCTTACTGTTCGTCTTCCCTTCCTTACACTTTATCAGTGCTGAACTTTTGTTAACTACAGGGCGCCTTGTTCAGTCTTGGATCTTGCAAACCCATCAAGGGATAATCCATCCCACCTGTTCCTGAATGGACAAAAGCTGTTCCACAGCTTGTTTCTGTTCCCTAAAGTACAGACTGAATCTAAACTCCTGACTCCAACCCTTTGTTCTGCCACTAGACAAAACACTCATGCCCAAATGCTAACAAACACAGTTTAAAAAATGGAGGAAGACAAAAACCTCCAGCACCAGAAGGTTAAAATCTGGTTAGTTCGTGGGAAGAGTGAGCTGAGGAGCCTTAACCTGACCTTTGTGATTCCTCTTCCTGCCCCAAGGAAGCAGCTGAGTGACATGTGGAGCCTGAGTGGCGATGGTAATCTAAAGTATGGGCTTCTCTCGCAAACCTATGGTACTTTAGAATGGGTCCTACCTCTAGGGAAACACCTCCTTAACTCCAAAAAGAAACAGGAAGAACCTGAGACACATCAACTCAAAGTAGAATAAATCTGTTAGTGAAAGAGGATGCTTGCTGGAGGCACCTGTGACAAAGCAACTGCAGTTCAGAAAATGAATATTGTAGTGGAAATTAGGATTTCAACCAAATCAGAACATAAAAATTGGATGTGCAGCTTATCCTCCCTGTAGAAATGCCTGTATTTCCATGAATGCCTTACATTCAAGTGCACAAACCTACAACTTTGCTCCAGCTACTGTGGTTTTTGGGTAACATAATTGTGTGTCCTCTGTAAGTCATTTGTATTTCAGTCTTCTATGCAGGTAATCCCTAAAATTTGGTGCAATTACTCAGTTGCTTCAGACACACTGTCAGTGCAAGGACCTTAGAAAGCTCAACTCCTGTAACAATTTATAGGTGTCTATTAAGCCAACACCACAGACAATTAACTGTTTTAAGAGTATTGACATGCAGGATAAAATAACACAAATTTCTGTTGACCCATATGGGGGGGGAGGGGGACAGGTATTTCCACAGCCAGGGTAAAGAAATGGGCTTCCTTGAGTTCTAGCCTGAGCAGAAAAGTAAGTTTTCTTGTTGCCAGTGTAAACAAGGGGTAACAGTAGGGTTTGCTATATACTATACTGTAGGGTACAGTTTTATGCTGGCAGGATCATACACTCGATGGCAAAATTTTTCCATGCTGGATTCCTAAAATTCTGTAAAAACTATTAAGTCCCTCATTTTCAAGGAGACTCTCTCTCCATTTTCTTGCCTGTCAGGGCTGTCAGATGTCTGATTACTCAGCTACAGGGTGGGCTGCCAGCTGTCAGCAGGTATCAATCTCCCTAAAAACGAAACTGAGGGTTGAAATACTGTCCCTGAGGCCCACAGCATCCCATAACCATGCTGTTAGTGAGGTTGCTTATTTCTGAAATATAAAAGCATTGGAACTAGACTCGTCTGGCCTAAGGCATATTATTCCCTTATGTTTCTACAGCCTTTATCAAAATTTGAAGATTGTTGTCTTCCCTTGCTCTTCTTGGGCTAATATTAGCCCTAATTTTTTCAGCATTTTCCTTTTGGGTCATCATTTCCTGATAATTTTTTGAAATTTTATTTCTCCTGCATCTTTCAAGGACCATTTCCCACAGCATGTGCAAACACAGCTGTGTCTGCAAGGACTTGTTACCCTGTCACAGAAGAAATTACTGTCAGTCTGTCATGACTTACTCTTGTCAACCCCCAGCTGGTTTTTGCAAGAGTTTTTGCTCCGTTCTAGGGATCAACAAAGTGTGTCCCATAAAACCAGTTTTTCAACAGAGTAGAACAGCTTATCACCCAGACAATGTTTTTTGTGCATGAATGTAACAGCAACACATAGAAGAAACAAATACAACATACAGTATTAGGCTAAATCTGATTTTTCCTGCTCTTGAGAGCATGGAGTTGGTTTCATATTGGCTTCAGCTTTGAATTCCCCTTTGCTTTAGTGACCTGAAGACCAAATGACTGCTTTAGAAAATGACTGTTTTGACAGTTTGTAAAAATTTGTTTATATGAAGCTTATGGATTTGTTTGAGCTATTTCGAACTACAAAGCCTGGTTTTGAAAGGGATGCCTTTTTTTTTTCCTCCCTCGGATATAAAGGCTAACATACCTCTAAGCAAGATCATAAATGCTGATGGGTTTTGGTTCATGGAGAGCTACACAAAGAGTTAACTTCTATCTAGAATATGCTTTCTACAGAGGTTTTGAAGACTCTATCTAGTGTTGGATGTAAAAAGTAATTATTTTATAGCCTGTATTGCAACCTTAGTGTGTTCAGTCATCACCTCTCTCTGAAGACAGAAACTATTAAAAAATGTTTAATAGAATAAAAATTTGCCTTTAGCAGTTTAGCTTTGTATCACTTTCTTTGTCATCTCTCCCATGGATCTCATGAAGGAATAATACACTCAACCTGTGCCTGAGGAATACACCTGAGAGCCAGTGCTGGAGCTTTCATGTGCCTGGGAAGCCAAACATACCACTGTGATGTAGTGAGATTCATTACAGTGCCAAGCATTCGCAAGAAAGTAAACCAGAAAAGCATTAACATAAAGAAAATTTAGTGTAGGACAGTAAAACATCATCATAAATGAAATGTAATGTAAGCTGAGAATTCTTTCTTTCCTTATGACTCTTGACAGGAATGCCTGCCCTTGGAGATCTTTTAATTTGTGAAGTATTCGACTTTCAGAATATTTAACAGAGAGTGTAAAACTCATGATCCATTTTTTTTATGTGAAGGAGAGGAGTAAGACCATTTCAGAGAGAAAATGGCTTTGGTGAGGAGGTCAATGCAGAGAATGTTCTGCTTTCTGCAGTACTTGACACTTGCAGCTCTTGGGCCCAGCCCAACCCTCCTGCACTTAGATCAGTCCTTGTACTTCAGGCTACAAACAAGATGATAATCGTGACGTGACTGAATTGTTCTTAAAGCTACTGGTTGTGTAAAACTGCAGTGAATTCTAGTTCTGAGCTTTTGCTGGTAGGTAGCACTGCCTCAGTAGTGGGGGGGGAGGAGGAAATTCTGTATTCTGTATTAAATAGCAGTGAAGAAAACATACAACAAAAATGTAACAAACACAGATTGGATCTAATTCCAACATTTTTTCAAAGCTAAATGTACTTAGCTATTATGAACAGTTAATTTAATGACAATCCCAAAAGGCCTTCAAATCTAGTAAGAATAAAGCACCACAACAGGGGGAGAAGAAAAAAGGTCCAGTGAGGTAGAGGTCAACAATCTTCATACTGATACATGAACATGCTTCCACCAAGCTAGTGGGCATTCCTGTATGTAAATGGCATTGTGTTGCTGTCAATTAACATCCTTAAGGCCACCATCTCAGGACATCAGGCTATTGATGCAAATCCTTCCACTGTGAGATTAATCTGATTATTTATAGCAAACATAGAATGTTGGAATGGGCTGATATATATTTTAATTTTTGTTCAAATTTGATAAAATACATTAAATTAATGTATTTGATGCCAGCATTATGTAAAGGTGCAGATGAGTTAAAAAATAAGCACAGTGCCATGCAAACAGAGGGATATATTCCGTCAGCTATATATATATCCATTGTAATATTAGTACATTTTAATACTCACCATTTTATTAGGAAACTGCAGTGTATTATAGACCCAGAATCACTGGATTTAGTTGACATAAGCAGGACTGATACTCCCTGCTCTTATCTCACTTGAAAGGTTAAGTTTTACCATGAGGTTTTGCAAAGGAGATGTTCCTGCCAGTGTAAGAAACATCACTTCATAATGTCAGAAAGGAACAGTCATACGTCTTTCCCATGTCTGACAAAAATCTTTTAAATCTTGTGTTAGCCAGACACTAGTTAAAATACATAAATTTTCCTTTGAGTGTAGATTGGGACATACTTGGCTGAAGAAATATCATTCCCCCTATCCTTATGAATTTCTTATTTCGGAGGTGGGACCCTGACCTTGTATCCAATGGGCTGGTGCTGTATTACAAAACACCACCAGTAAAAAGGGTAGAAAGTCTCCTTTTTTTTTTCACTAGCCTTACTCTGTGCAGTAAAGATTCCTCATTTCTTTCTTACTCTAGAATCAATCAAATATTGCCTTTCAGATTCAGATTTCTTGTGTGTGCACTGGCATTTGTACCAAGCTCTCCTTTCCTTTTCTATAAGGATCCCTCTGGCAAGGTAAGTATAAGTGATGTGTCTTCATGAAACTTGTAGTTTACTCCTGTGTTCAGTGCAGTACTTTGGGGAAAAAAAAGGCGAAACGCATTTATATACATTGAAACATATAACACTTATCTGAATTTCACAAGAAGGAAGGCAAGTTGAATTTTTGGTCCTCTTTGAACCTATTTTCCTAATTTTTCAAATGATTTATGCTCTACTGTTTTCAAGAATATTGCTGAGGGAAATGCCTAGAGACTATACGTAGGAGTTGTCCTGACAGACAATATAGATCTATTTTGCATCAATGCAAGGATGGAAAAAGCCCAAACTGTTGTCTCTGGATAACGGCTTTGCAAGAAAGATTTGTATTTGCTTGATAATTTAAAATGTCCTGAAGTTTTGTAAAATTACCATTAGGGGAAAATTTAATATAATTTTGCCTAGGTAAAAAGATCCAGTGACTTCTACAAAATGACAGGAGCAAATTAAAAACACATAGAGTTCTTCACACTATGTTTGCTCATTCTTTTTTGGCTCCTCTTACAAAAAGTCTCACTAGAACCTGAATATGCTGTAGGCTTGCATAAGTTAGAGCAGTTCTAATGTTCTTCTAATTTATGATTGTTGTCATGGGCTGTCAGGTCAAGATTCCCCAGAGCATAGTGAATTCTGCTCCTCAGCTTGCTGTTATCACTGATAATACAATATCAGCAGAACAAGGAGAAAAAAAAAAAAATCAGGTATTTAACACAGTGTAAATCTGACGTAGGGTATAACTCAGGTGGTACCTACCTTCCAGATTCAGAGTCACCACTGCCGTGTCATCCTCCAGTCCCTCAATCACCTCACACTTGTACCTCCCGTAGTCCTCCAGCATTATGTTTGTGATTACAAGGGAGGCATCATTCTCACTGCTCTCCCTCAGGAACACCCTCCCGTGGTAACTCCCGTAGCTCTTCCTGTGGTGCCCCATGGCCACAAAAACATCCAGTTCCTTGAGGTAATCATAGGTGAGTTTGGTCCACTTGACCCGGATTTTGTGGGCTTCTGAGCCAGCTGTTGATGTGTGTTCATGGTAGAATTTACATGGCAGTGTGATATTGCCACCCCGATGAGAGAAGATTTTGGCTTGTTCTGCTACCACAAGTAGACGGGGTCCATTTTCTGCTGGGATTCAAGGAGAAGAACAAGGGAAAACACACACCCCCCAAGAATTAGTTTTCCTTTTACAAAATGGTTGTGATCAATGCCATAACAATCATCAGCTATGTTATACATTAGGTCTGCAGGGTTATTAGGTCTGGAGTAATTTTCTACCTATGCAGTAGAAGTGTGGGTAAACCAGTTGTAAATAATTATTTACTTAGCTGCAAATATGTCTGTGCCCACCCCACACAGGCTGAGGCCATCCTATACACCCCACAGTCATGAAGATGGAGTTGTGTAAATATATTTACAGAGTTGTATAGCTGATGGATGAATGTCATCATCCATAAAAGGCTCCACACAAACTTTCCATGTTTTCCTGTGGGTTGTTCAAGAGCTGTGTCTCAATGCTGTATATTTTTTTTCATTATTTAATTTTTCTCCATGGACTCAGCTTATTCAGGCAACAGCATATAAACCTCCTCACAGTCTGGGATGCAGTGAATCCCACTCACAAATCAGAAAAACCATCACAGTACCAAACAACACTATTTATATTGATGAAAAGTGTCAGTATAATTCTTAAATAAATATTTTAGACATTTTCTATTTGTATTTTATTCTAACTCTTGAGCATGATTTCCTCTTCTGACCAGAATAAGGAAGTTCAGTTTATCTTCAAATATAAAATCTGATCCTCTGTTGCCCACTTTCTTCATCATCTCAACTTGGTTTTTCCTCATCTGTTTTTTCTGATTTCCTTCCTACTCATCACTATTTTATCTCTGATATTTTGATCTCACTTTTCACTCAAACCTGTATTTAACTGTCTGGCTCTGGCTCTTCTCCTCACCCCAGACTTCCCGCTTTCCTTCTCCCTACTAGGTCACTACAGCAGATGTTGCTCTGTGAAACTATTACACTTATGACAGTCAGCTGGAGCAGGTGCTCGCTTACAATCCTGAGTCTCTGGGGTTTTTACAGGGAAAACTCCGGGAAATGCAGATTTCATGTGGCAGTCAGCAGAAGTGTCCAAAAGTGAGAACTTTTGGTAACTCTTGCCTTTCAACTCATGCAAAGTTTGCAAAACTGATTCAGCAAGCTCAGTGATTCTGTTGGTGTTGCTGCCCTCGACCACTGAGACAGTGACTGAAACCAGCAATGAATCATCAGCTCACTGGGGAAACAGTCTGCGTTAACAGGTTGTGAAGAAAGACTTTGCAATCCTCCATGTGCCTTCAGCAAGTAACTATAACTGCTTAGAAATGTGATTCCTGGCTCTGACGTTCAGTCTGGCTCTCTTTAAATTCAGGAAAAAACGTTTGGGATAAGCTCCCAGAAGCAGAGGCCGCTGAGAGGATGATCCTATGAAGGCCAGCAGCAATTTTCTGCTAGTGTGTCCACAGCTGCAGGGGGTAAAGGGAGATGTTCAGATCTGTAGCTCATAAGTATCTCCAGACAATCCCAGGCTTCTGAGCCTTGTTGACAGGTCTGCAGCTGAATAATATATTCACCTAAGTTGCAGCCTCAGATGGATTTCACTCCTTGTCCACACTAACTACACCAAGTAGCAGAGGGGACACCAGGGTAACGCAGTATTTTATGGTTATACAAACACATTCAGGAGTGATAATTGCAAAGACAATCTTTCTGTGTCCAAATGTGCACCTGCTTAAGGAAAAGCGGGTATGCCAAAGGTATAGCTCTTTGTCAGGAGGTGCTGTGTCAGGAGCATTTCTATTGCCGGTGTGGGACAAGGCCCCAGCTTCCTCAAGAATGAACAAGCTGGAGCACTGAAAGGTGTTTTACCAGGATGAGTGCCCTTCCTGCCTAGTGAAAAATCATTGCTGCAGAGCAGATCCCCTGCAGCCACATATAACTGGTGTTCTTTCCCACTGGCTTTCTTCCCAGAGGCTTAGGACTGCTCCAATAACCCATCTTCCCCCTTTCAGAGGAAAGCATTCAAGGAGAGAGGTGAGGCAAGGCACCATGGAAAGTGTTACCAACAGTTTCCACAGGAGGAGGAGAAGGAGGAAAGTGAAGACAGCCAGCACAGTTTTTCTGTGAATTTTCCTGTTTCCCTGGGGACAAAGACATTCCACAGACTCCTGTACACCTTGGGAGGAGAAATGTTATGCTTTGGGGTGCTTATTACCGAGAAATCTGAATAAGAGCTCAACTATGTCGGGTCTTTCATACTGGAATGGTCAAGTTAATACATATTAGCAGGAGGGAGAGTCTGACTCAGGCTGCTAATGCTCTGTCTTTCTAACAACAGCTCTCCTCTGCCAGCAAGGCATGGAGATCTGCCTAGAGCACTGTCATCTCTGATTCCATTGTCAGCATCCTAACGGGGTGGTGTTTCCCAGCTCTTCTGGCCCTTTGCAGCAGCTATTACCTGATGACAACCTGAGAAAGGAGAGGAAAACCCGGCTTTTCTCATTGCAGATCATCTCTCAAGTCCCTGGAGACTCCAAGGGAGATGCAACACTTGAAATATGCCTGCGCCCTCGAGTGTTCTAAAAGCCAGTTCTTTTTTACACAAAATGAGATGATGTGCCCTTCTGGCAGAAAATTATATTGCTGCTGCTCCCAGATGTAGGAGGTGAGGAAGAATCTCTGGCTTTTAGGCAAAGAAAATATCAGACTGGGGAATGATGCATAGCTTCTGTTTGGGCTAGAGGATATGCAAACAGCAGGGATTCAGGATTAAAAATGAGATGACTGGGGTTTGGCAAGAGGCCAAGAGGTCTTTATTGTGCAGTAGCCAGTCAGAAGCAGGGCCAAATTGACATAACTGCACATTTTTGGGGGTGTGGCAAAAAGAATGGTCTCAGTCTTCCTGGAGTTGATGAATTAAAAAAAACAAAACATCGAATCACAACAAACCAAAGACAGAGCAAACCAGAACCTCTTAATTTACAATATGTTTAGCACTCTGGATGCAGCTCTCTAGCTTACTGCTGTGAAAGTCAGCTCAAATGAGTAATGACTCCTACTTCCTGGGATCCTTAACACAATGAGAACTGATTTGTTGTGATCTGGTCATGGAAGATGGAGTTAACACTTTTTTGAAGGGTTGTCAGAGTAGTTCCCTGACTGATTTCCTCATGGTGTTTCTGACAAGTCTCTGCCTCCTGAATAAAATTATCTTTGCTTCTAAATGGCAGGAATATCTAAACAAAGACAACAAGAAGGAAAGGCATGGGACACGTGAGTGTTGTCACAGAGTCTAGCATGTCACTTGAGGAAGATAACAGTTCTTTTTCCCTAGAAGTAGCATCAGAGAATTTATAAGGTGAATGTCCAAACAACTGTAAGCTCTGAAAACCCCAAATTAAAGAGGTTTTGACCTCTTTAACAGGAGTTGTCTGCAACGGGATGGTTTTGGATCCTTGCTGGAGACAAGGCAGATCACTGGCTTGGCCACTTCAGAGCCTCAGAGGGTGGACAAACGGTCCTATGAAACTTCCAGCTGCTCCTTCTCTTGGGAACCAGAGGTGGCAACAGCCTGGTGACTGGCTCTGGTTTCAGCTCCAAGGGCAGAAGCAGGATGAGAAAGGTTTCCCAGGTCGGGCTTTCACCCTTCCAGGTATATTTTGCATTGTAAGACAGGCAATAACTAAGCTGTTAAAACAGGATTAGGCACCACTGGTGACTAATTTGCTGTATTTTTTCCACTCCTGCTTCCCTACTATGGATTCTGACAGGCTGTGGCCTTTAGTTAATTCTTGTGGTGCAATTAGATGGATGATGAAGGCAGCATAATGCAGATACAGCCAAGCCAGCTAAAAGAGAGCTTGTCCAAGCTGTAGAAGATGTCCAGCTGTGCAGAATAACACGCAACTCTGGGAGCTGCTTTCCCAGGGAAAAACTGTGTCCCACAGATGAAAAGTTACTTAAAAACTTCCTTTGCTATAACTCAGTGGTGCCAAATCAAACAGGTATATACTGCAGGTGAAAGGGTATCTTACAGCCTTAAGTATGAGGCACTGCAGCAGCAAACTGTCCACCCATTCTATCCTCTCCCTTTCTATTTCCTTGGCTTATTGGTTTAGTTCCAAATTTTAGTGCTGGACACATTTTAAGATATTTTTTTTTTGTCTTTTCAGTAGTGACTTTTGGGTTGCACCAGGTTTTTTTATTATTGTTTGAGCGGGTTGGTTTTGGTTTGGTTTTGGGTTTTTCTTTGCCGTGCAGTTTTCTTCCCTTTCCCTTTTTAATTTTTCCCTCTTAACTGGCTTCTGTACTCAAGAAGGATAGTGAGCCAGGTTTGTAAGGCCAAGAACACAGTGTGGGGCAGAGGGAATGGGTCACACCACAACCCTTGGCAAATAGCCTTATCCACTTTATCCACCAGTAATGTCCACAAGCTTATGCTGACCTGGCTACAAAACTTGATTATTCCCACATTTTAATGGAACAACTTAAAAAGTGGTGGTAGAGAACAAGATATGCATTTTTACAGGGGGAAAAAAATCATAAGGTCACATCATAGATGTGTTTTGTCAGATAATGTATTGCCTAAAGGTTCCCACTGTTAGCAAGCCCTTAGGCTGATAATATTGTTCGTCATTCTACTTTAAATAAACACAGAGTTGTTTCTTGCTTTCCTGTGGTGTTACCAGGGTCTTGAGCATAACTCTCATGCTAAAATATCCTCACTCTTCCCATAGCACTGGCATCCTGTGATCCTAACATGCTTACATAACAGCCATAAATAATTTATGTGATAACAATAATTCCCACTTGCTATAATACCTAAAGAAAGCGCATTATTGATATTGTTGTATATGGATCTATTATTCAGAGAATCCTGAGGGAAGAACATGAGGAAGAATTACACACACACTTTTTTCCACATACTTCTCGCACATTTTTTCTATCTGTGTTTTAACTAACTAACTTTTTACTGTTGTTTTTTGGGAAAAAAAAATGTAAGAACTTTTGTATATCATCTGTAAAACTAGTCAAAGTTGTTCTTTTTTGGCTCAAGGATTAATGTCATTTTGATTGTGCCA